ATAGTGTTATATTATGAAAAAGATACAGATTTATTTCTATGATTATCATATATTTTGCAAATACCAAATAATTTACACGATTTAATTGATTATTTTTTAAATGATTACGAACCAAACAATATTCTTAGCTCAAATACACAATAATCTTACACAAAAGTTGAATTTTTAACACGAATTATTTTTGTTGCAAAAAAACTTAGTGGTCTACACTCCCAGGATATATTAAGAATGAAATCTTTATAAGCTTATCTAAATCAACACACAAACCACTTTAGTATCGAACGACGTTTCCAATAAATTCTGTTGTTTAACCTCAACACTAAATTACAAGTATTCCAAAAGTTACTATCTAAACAAAAAAAATTCTAAGTGACCAATGTCAAGTACGTGAATTTTTCTAGTATATATCGTTAAAATTTCATTAACTCGAGTATAAATGCGCAGAACCATTTCAAATGGATTTTTCTGAGCGATGGGCCACTCTAAGGAGTATTAAATAAAACTAAAAATTACAACTAAAATTTAACAACCGTTGCCCATTCTTTTAAAACATTACAGGCTCTTGTTTAGATAGACTAGAGACAATTGACATTATATTACAACTATGTACACAAGATGTCATTTACCAGACCACCACCACATGAAGCGGCGTTTGACTAATTTTACTCATTCCCTCACATGTCACTTAACGTGAAACGATCGATTTAGATTTTACTAAGACTTTATGTCGACCGTTTCCGATACCACTTCCCTATGTTTTACTAATGGAATGTTAACCTTCAACGACACATATCGTAACTAATGTTCTTAAAACGTTTCTTTTCACGCTTCTACGCGATCACTAACGTGGTCTTGTGTTTGTTTTTTTACCATTCATAATCAGTTCGGTTTTTTCTACAAAAAAAAGTATAATAAATAATGAACAATATTACAACACCGAAAGATGCGAGTTATGCAGTCAACATTTTGTGTTGTTGGTTAAATAATGTGAACCTCAACATTTCATGACTTAATTTCCACAGTAAAGTTGCCATAAAGTAGTTGATCCATTGTAATTTTTATCACATTTAGTGTAAAAAAAATATTAATTTTCTTGTGAATTTTACTTTGAGGTTTTTTTTTCAATATATTACATTTTACACGTAATTTATGAATCGGATGATCTTATGTAAACACGAATTAGCCTAAGGTTTCACCGTCCGAGTCGTAAAACAAGTAGAAAAAAACACCGACATAAGCTAATGACATCACAAATGTATTAAAGTTAGCGTTTAATTACAATTTCCTGTAAATCCAAGTATAGCCGTATAAGTTGTATAGTAGTGAAAAAGTGAACGAAGTATTATGCAACGGTCTTGACTTCCGTACAGGCGTTTGTATAATCCAATCATTTGACAGAAAAATCAAATAAGACATCAAGACACGAACGGCCGATAATTAAGTAAATGTAAACCAAAACGTGACGTGAGGTAACTATAAACGAACTGGTTTCTTGGGCACTTTATCGAATAAAAAAACCAAAATTTGAATCTTACACCGGCGATTGATAATTATTTATTCATTAATTACTGTCAAATATCATAGACGACATGATTTTCATTAAATAAATAATCGTTTTACCGATACGCGTGCGATTATTGCTTTGTGTATGTGTTCAAACGATTATATGTAAATATTCCAGCGATGCCAAATCGTGTGCCGTTTAATTATAAAATCCTTTGTGATCAATTGAAAAATTAATCATTAACCATAGCCCAGCTGGCGATACTACAGTGGCTTATACTAATCGATTATAAAACCATTGGTTGATACGAACGAATTCATTAAAACTTGTCGATTAACGAGCAATGTACTGTTTTGTTGTTTTTCCTTGGCCGCCGACCAAATTAGTAGTTGATTATTATTTAATAAAAACAATACCAGTAATCAAAAATATGTTTTCTATACATTTAATTACCGGCTACAATGTCAACACATTTTATGGAACCAAAATAAACATGCTACGTAAGTTTCACTCGCGTTCCAAAATTCGGCGCGGGCCGTCCCCATTTTGAAAACTATTTGCAAAAATTAATTTTTTCCAAAACACGTTAAAATTTACACCGTTGTAAATGATTGATATTAGTTACCCAACCGATGGCGACCCGAAACGTTCGTCATCAGGACCGCCCGCATTTGGATATCTTGAGCCTCTTAAAAATTACTAGTATTTTATTTTAAGAAGAAAAATACTACACCTCGGGTTGTACGCTAAAAAATTACTGCCGGGGACTCCCCTCGGAAGCAGCTCTACTAATCGATCGCTGTTCAAACGACAAGGACATTTCTTCATCAGCGTCTTTGCCTCCCCGAACCCGTTAGAGGTTTATGAAACACAGCCGTCAGTCATTTTCTAGGACGGTATACATTTCAAGACAATAATTGTGCATTACGTTTATATTGTCGCGTACGGTTCTCAAAGAGTTATTATCGTAGCCTATTGCTGTGCAAAAAAATCATAACAAATAAATGGAATAACGAGACCATCATCATTAAGCCGAGTCGGTCTCGTTTTGTAACCGACTTGCTGTGGTCGAATTGTACTTTCTCCGATTACCAAACACTGAGATTTTGACAGACCTTCGACGTACGTGTATTATCTAAAACGGTGACCCGGCCGAGCTACCCTTTTCAAAACGCTTCGGTAATTCAGTCCGTTCTGTTCTATTTGTTTTGCGCGCTCAGTTTTTTTTTTTGCACTATTATTTTTTAATGTTGTATTACTCCGATCCGTAGCAAAAACCAGTAAAGTCCATTGGCTACACACAAATATATTACTATTGTTATTATTATTATTTCATTTTTCAAAACGGTTTACGCGATTTGAGCGATTCTCTTTCCTCGCGCATCTGTCGTTTACCTATGAAATGACCCTCGTTGGATTAAAATGGAACCTGTACCTTTTTCTGGCACAATAGTAGGCACCTGTAGGTCAGTGGAGGTCGACAATCTTTAGAACCCATTGTACATTCTTCCTGCTTCAAAAAAAAAAAATCTTCTCTATATTTTGTTATTTTTACAATAGCGAATCTAGTGTTTAGAAAAAATATTACAAAATAAATGTTCAAATAATAGTCGTCCGGGGCACACGAACAAGTGTTGCTAATTAAATTTATGTACTCTGTAATGTAAAACGGCCAAGGTTCAGTAAGGAGTTTGAAAATTGATTTTGAAATTATTAAATTAAAAAAAAAACGTCATTCTTATGCAACCGGACAACGAGGTGTCATTATTGCGTTTGTTTACATTTTACGTGGAATAAAATGAAAAAAAATTATGTATTTGTGCTCACATTTTGTTAGTCAATTAAAAAAATCAATAAAAACGAATAGTGACGTATGTTCATTAATATCATAAATATTTGAGATTTTAATGACGCTCTTGATAATACTAAATTGTCGATCATCAACACATACTGAAAACATTAATGTTGTTTTAAATAAAAAAAATGGAATAACTTACAAGTTGACATTTTTCGCTAATTGTTGTATACCAAAATCCTAATTGTTCGATACCAACGAGTAAGGTACTTCACTAACGTCTAGTAAAGTCTTTGATTTTTGCAATAATTAACTATTGTCAATATTTCAGTCTTACGTATCTTATTTTAATGTTGAAAAAACTAGAATAAAATTGATGGTGAATTTGAAAAAAAAAAAAATTCCCAAGATAGCGTTAACCTTTGGTTATCTAAGTGTGTTAGTGATTTTTGTTAATCTAGACGTGTTAGCGGTGACCGTTGAACATTTTCGTTAGGTTCTCAATAATTTGACCCCAGTGGCTAACAGTACTCGATAACACGTTACACACAACTCCTTTGAAAAACTATCGTCGAGTTTTTTAACATTCTGTAACATGACTTAATCGTTTGATATTTTACATACTACTCGGCACACGAGCAAAAATACACTTTCCATTAGCAGCACGTGAAATAATTAACATTAATTCGAAACTAGTCGATGAAAACATATCTTATGACAAGACACTACGGTCAAATTATTACACGAAATGCCAACATTATTAGGCATTTTCTTTTATTTTCGTTGAAAATGGACTAACGATAATTTTTTACTTAAAAAAAATTATTTAAATGTCATGTGCAAAATTTGAGGTGATTCTTTTTAATGAAATAACTAATAAGAACATTACAATTTGTAATCAGTTACATTTTGTTGCGATGTTTCTGTAGAAAAACAAGAAAATTACTTGTCAACAAATAAATAATTTACACACACACACAAAATGTTTACGTGTGCAAAAATGTAAGAAACGGATAGTCTTCTTTAGCCAACTTTAGTAGGCAAAAATACAAATAACAATTGATCATTCTACACACTGAACGTGTAGCAAAATATCGTTTTAAATGGTCTCGACCTTCGCGGTGAATCCAAAATATTAGCATTTTAGTTATTTATCTCAAGCCGACGGCCAAGACATGATAACAGTTCACGTACAGGAGAAAAAACGAGGTATAATAGCAATTTAGTGCGCGACGACGTTAAAGCGGAAGAGTTCATTGGCGACACAAATGCGGAAAAAACAAACGCATGACCGCATTGACGATTAATCATAAAAAATGTAATAACAATACTTGTATTATAGAAAAACTACTTTCCCCTGCATTGGCCTGGACGGCTCCATAACACGTTACGCAACACACACTACAGCTAACAATAATTTTACTATCACTACACACATAATACCCAACGCGTTACGTTACTTGTCATCGTTATTCTGCACGTCTAATACACGTACACAAGAGGGGCGGTATTATGCTGTTTAGTAGTTACACGCCGTTCACATTTATTTCGTTTTTTGCCCATACATTATTATTTGCAGTATTTTTTTCAATCGACTCTTCTGCACAAAAACAACTTTGTGTTTCCCGAGCTCTGCAGTATTTATCCCATAAAAATTCTAAATGTAATAAGGCGCTTGATAAATAAATGTAAAACAACAAATTAAATCAAAATATTTATTATTAAAAACTTTTCCGTTTAACGCTTTTAACCAAACACATGTAAATTATATTAATAATAATAAATAAAATTAATTCGTAGTAATAATCAAAATAAGAGCAATGCAAAACAAATTTGTCAAATGACACTTTAGATAGTAATAATATTATGGTTATATAAGTACATTAGCAATTTGAAATAGAGAAACGGCGGCACCGACACTTGTTATCGTCTTGTGTTTACACCATCTAGGTGTGTATATATAAAAAGGAATACAGAGAAAAATGCAATTAAAAAAAAAAAAAAAGTGATAATAATATTAAAAAGTACAAAATTAAACGCGTTTGGTGTAGCGCAGTGACAAAAATAATAAATTAATAAATTACGATTCTAAAAAATATAATAATAAAAATAACGCATATGAGAGCTTAACACACACAAACACGACTAAATACAATACATATTATTATTATATAAAAAAAAAAAAAAAGGATAAATAAGACGCACGCGGTTTGAGTCCGCTGCGATCAATAACACAACAAAACGAGTTAAGAAGAGACATTAACCGGACCGTTTTAATTTTTATACATTACTATTAAATTAAAAATTAATTGAGATTTGTTAATGATCGAGTCAAATACAGTTAGATACCGTAGTGAACTTTGTTATACAGATGTTGTATAGTATGCAAAAGTTTCGTACAACGCGCTTGCGCGATGTTTAATAGAAAAGGATGTTTCATTTTTTATGAATTAAAAAAAAAGAAATAATTGTTTAGAATAATATACACGGCGAAGTCTCTCTAATAGGTACAACATTAAACATATATAAATACACAATTTCATTAAGTATTACACAGTATTATAAATAGTGGTAAAAAGTCGGTCAGTGTGTATAATAATAATAATAATTATAATAAAACAAATATACTTAGTTAGGTTATGCAGGGATATTTATATGAACCAATATAATAGAATAATAATAATAATAATAATAACATTAAAGTCTATTTGTTGAAATAATAATAATAATATTAATTAAATATATTGACGATGCACGAGAACAATGATTCGTATACGAAATCGGTAGGGACGTCATCGTATGCAATCGTAAGCGCTGACCGGACACACAGTATCGTTTTTTTTTTTGAAATGTTCGCATGAGGTAGATGATGAATAATGATGACGAGATGGTCTCTTACACTAGAGAACACAGTCGGGTGTGAGGAAAATAATTGGAAACTTGAAAAACGGCATGTGTATTATGAGGTACGTGCGATGGCGGCGGTTGAGGTGGAGGTGTCAAATTATTAACAGCTCCGAAAAACGCGAATTCGGCCGGATAATAATTTGAATATCCACAAAACCGCTACCGTCGCCCGTAACAAAAAATACACGGGCCACTTTAGCCTAATACTTTACCCATACTCGACATGAACAGTCCCCTGAAGAACTAGACATTGATGTAATTTATGATACCACCACAAGCATCAACAACATTCTACGTCCATATAATACATCGTTAATAAATCCGGCCCCGACCTGAATGGATGGGGAGGACACGGACAACATTTACCGGGTTCGTATACGGATCATTGCGGACTATTAGATCGTCAATGAGGTTAACGCGGACCAAATTAATCCTAAAAAAAAATATAACACGCATAATATACGAGTATATAATAATAATTATAATTAATAACTAATCAATCGGATAGAGTTGTTTCGTTTGTTGTTAGTTCTGTTTTTTTTTAGGAATGCGATATTATTTCATAATAGATAGTAATAGTAGTAGTAGTGGGTAAAAAAAAAATCGGAACATCAGAATTGTCTGTAAAACGAACGCCTAATTGAATTGTAAAAAAAAAAAAATACTAAAACATTAACGAAAAATATAATTTAAACTATGTACAAGACTTTTTTTTTCTTATCACGTTTGGTATCAAAAAAAAAAAAAAAAAAGAACAAAGTGGGCAATAAGGCAGCGGCGCGCTTACGTCGTCGTTGTATCACGTTCTTTTCTTTCTTTTTCTTTTTTTTTCCATCAGAAACCGTAGAACCCGAAATCGGGTTCTGGATCGCTGAGACGTCTGGAAGGCGACAGAGACTTGTGACCAACGGAGGTGATAGCGTGAAAGGCGAACACGTCTGGCGTGCCGGTAGGTGAACCAGACAGTCTGTTGAATACGGGTAACCGTCCCTCGGGCGACTGTGGTGGTGTGAACACGTCCAACATACCGCCTAGGCCTCCAAGATCAGCCAAAGAACCGTCGCTTCCGATGCCTGACGACGTTGACAATGGTGGTGACGCTGGTGGTGGTTGAATGTAACCGTCTCCCTTGTGCACAAAGTGACACCGCTGGCCATACGGGCAGTATCCGGCAGAGTTGAACGATTTGCATGGTTCGGTCTTGTACTTGGGATGTCTGAAGACTGGACGTAAATCCTGTTCGCCGTGAGCAAATTGACACTTGTCGCCGTACGCGCACTTAATTTTTTCAATGTACTGCCTGCACATTTCGGTCTTGTACCTGGACCCCATTGGCGGTTGGGGTGGTGGCAGCTGTTGCTGACTACTAATGCTATTGCTTGTGTTGTTACAGTTGTTGTTGTACTGTTGTTTTCCGGATGATCCGTTTCCGTTACCACCTCGGCGTCCCTGTCCTTGTCTACCGCGTCTAGGCTCGGACGACACCGATCCTTGGTTGCTACCACTATTGCTGCTGGACGATGACACCATTTCTTGCCACCATTGGTCCGCTTCAGTTGACACGGCGTGTGGTCGATTTTGTGTCTGTAACAAAAAAAAAAAAACATAATGTTTTATTGTCAATATTAAAATTTATTTCTAATGATACGGCAAACCACGCGACATATGTTAAATAAATTTTAATTCCAATATTTATTCGATTTTATTTTATACGAACATAAGAACAAAAAACTATAAGAATAGAAATCAAAAATATAACTGAACATAACACGACGGCATTGCTCAATTTTGAATTGTTCGATTATATAATCATGGCCTAATTGTAATCCTCTACAGAATGGCCCCTAACCTCAAAAACCTTGAGGATAAGTGTTCTTTATATTTTATAATAATTAACAACAAAATTGTGTTTTATAGAAGATAATTAAAATTTATCATGCCGACAGAAAACTGGGAAAATATATTTTGATAAATTTGGACGCTTTTCATAAAAACCGTTATATTAAAACTATAAACTTTTTCAATTTTAGATAACGTTATTTTACTTATTATAATGATTAGAAATTAATCTTATGACAACTGTAGGTAAATTTTAAAATTAATCATTAATGATAAATTTCAAGGCGAAAACAAAAATTTAAAGACAAATTCTTTAAATCTCTCATTTCTAAAATTTTAAAATAATATATTGTAATTTCAATAAAATTACAAAAAATTGAAATATGGTTTAAAATGTTGATAATTTTGATTAAGCTCAATAACCTTTGCCTGTTTATTGATACAATACATGTACATTTATACGGTAATAACCATATGTTATTTAAATATTGATATACCAAACCACAGGTACTACTAATAATAAAAATATACTTCACGACAGTTTTAAAACTGTATAAAAATGGTTCATTGTCGCTCTTTGTCACCAATAATGAGCGTAAAAATGATATCTATCTAAAAGTGTCCCATCTAAATTAGAGGGCAGTAAGAAAGCGTGATTCGTGGTAAATGCAAAAAAAAAAAAAAATATATAAATTATACTATTAAAAATTCATAAACGAGAAATCACAAGTTAAAACCTTTGTTAACTGAAAATGGTTTTTTTCATGGAACAAAAGTGTTTGATTTCAGTACAGATAAGTCTACACCATCTTAATACATTCAGATTAAATTTAAGTTATAATAATATGTATGCAGACAATATCATAAAGTACTAATGCATTCAAATAAAGGTAGTAGACAGTATACGCTAGCATATGTATTGTGTTTTTCTCACTGTTTTTTAACCTCTACGTCGGCAATATGTTATGATCGCCATACGTCGACTGCAGGAGACATCGAAAAGAAGTATAAAGGCGACAGCGTTATCATACACAGTAGTCGTCAATCCAAACAACGATCGTAATAAATCTTTTAGCAAATGTTTGAGAAAAAAAATTAACTCCACTCTCCTTCTATTATAAAATAACTTGGCATTTAGAACGATAACAATTTATATTCTTAATTTATTCTATCAGTTTCTTCAAAACATTAGTACGCCTAAACGTTAAAAAAAAAATTATGAAACGTGAGTAACTAGCGACACATCAATCGGGTTATATTAACACACGAGCCAGTTCACAAATAGTCATTTTTAGGTTAGGTGTATCGACATGAATAATTATATGCATTCTAATCTCTATGCATTAACGACAACTATTCGAAAAAAATAATTATAATAACCCAACCACCTGAATACAAGAATTCAGACGAGATAATTACTGATAAACGAAATTTTAATTTAGTTATTAAACTATCTAGTATTACATATAAATTAAGAGATGAGTCAACGTCTACATAGTACTTAAAAATAATAATTTTCCCTTTCAGTCTATTTTTTAACTGGTAATAGGTTTTATAGTTTATTCAATCTACTACTTCACATAACCCAAATCTGAGTTTTCTAAGAGTGATAAATCTAAAACACATAAAACGTCAGATAAGAAATAAAAGGTTAACAACATATAATTGTGCTGCTCTTATTTCTCTATTATTTTAATCTGATATTATGTTATACGCTAAAAAATAATACATAATAACGACGACTAAAATGATATTCAAGAAATAAAACATATTTTACACAAGCCGTGGACTAATAGGCATTTTCGTTGCATTATTCAGCAGCGTTTGTATTTTATTAAGAGAAGAAAAAATTGTTTATCACAATTTGAAATTCTAACGTTTATTGACCTATAGACTATAGACGCAATAAATTTTTGTTATAAAAAAAAATTATCCTAGAATATATGTCTATTCAATGCATTAACCGTTTTTCACAACTGGACTGGTCGACTATTTCAAAAACAAATAATAATTCAAATATGATAGAAATTTTAACAGTGTAATTAGTATATTATGTATTTAAATTGAATGAATAAAACCTATTGATAAACTATTCATTAATAAAGGTTTTTTTTACACCATATGCAATAGACTGGTAAGCTATAAATTTTATGTTAAATAGGAAATTTTAAATAGAAATAGAACAAATTTAACACAGGTTTTTCTTAAAGTTGTTGTTGTGTGATGTTTATTATCTAACTTATTTTAAGTTTTAATTGTTCCTTTGTTGTATAACGAATGAGAACATCTGTAGAAAGCCGATGGAATAATTTTACTATCATTTTGACTTATACTTTGTTTTTTTTTTTAATCAGTATCACTTTAATTTCATGCTTATAGAAATAACAATAATACATTAAAGGCACATGCCGTTCACTAGTCCAATACTAAGGAGAGTTGTTACAACAACAAAGTGTGGACACGGTCAGCGTTTAGAAAGTGAAAATAACCTATGTAGTCTTGAACGTCGGCGGCTATTGCATAAGTCCTATTACGATACTAACACACATTACATATTTTCACTAGTTCTACTCAACAACACAACTATATCGTAATAAACCCAACAATTTAAAAATGCGTCTAATATCAATACTGACCTAAGTGTTGACTCAAAAAACTATTTTGACAGTCCAAATCTCGGAGTGCCGTAAAGAGTACATGAGTAGGACAAGGAGTTATATTGATAATGTTGTGATCAACAAATGGAACAACATAGCATTTTACGGTATCGCAGTTATTATTGAATTAACAACAGTCCTTTGTCCGCTATACACAAGGTATTAACGGACACGTACACTCAAATAACACAATATTTAAATAGCAAGGTCACGCGCAAAGCTCTGGGCACATAATCTAATTTGAGGATACATATACACGACACAGGCAGGTGGGATACCGAAGACAACATTGTAACAATTAAGAAAATTGACCGAACTGACAAAATTACTAATGAAGACAAATAATGACTACAAATATGGTTAAAATAATTTCAACTAATATTTTATAGCTAAAAGCGTGACGTTTTTAAAATAATTTCTCTCATATATCACTTTTACTTTATTCTATTCGAGCACAGTCCGTGCGCAAACAGAAAAGTATAATAAAATGCAAATTATCTGAATAAAAGTAGTTCCCACGGAATGATACGCGAATAAAAGTTCTATTATTATAATTATTCATATAATTAAATCATTTTAGTGGCAAAATTATATTAAACCGCTTTAAAATTATGCGCGATCGACTTCCTGGTTTTAACAAATTTTCCTTTCTCTTATAAGCACAATGGCGGGTATTATGACCCCCGAGGCAAGGACGACGATGATACTTTGCCACCATACATAGTAACCTGTTTGGCTAATAATTGATTGTATTCTAAATACAATTTCTTCAAATATTAATGTATACTAACATTAAAATTCAAAACAAAATTACAAGGACACCAAAATCAACAACACCGATAACGATAGTTGTTGTTTTAGAATCTAAATATATCTCACAGACTATTACAAAGCCATTAACGAACATAAAAACTTTTCACGACGGCAAGGCATTTTTCTAAAGATGAATTTTAAGTAGACGGAGAAAACCGGAAAAATCAGCAGCCACAATGCATGACAGCAAGTTGGAGGTGGAGGAAACCTTGGACCGTGACCACTTTCGATTTTTATGAAATCGCGGCTAGATACCGGTGGCTGCGACCGCATTTACAATAGGAAATGATATTTTTTAATTTTACTTTTTATTATTTGAATATTGTATAACTCAATTGTACAGACGAGTAAACAAATCGTGGATCAATTAAGTCAGCCAATCAATCTTGTTGCCAACTTAACACGATTGAAATTTAATGTGCAAATATTTAAGCATTATTTTTTATATGCCTAAAAAATAACATAAACAATTGCGTTAACGAGAAAGTGTTTAAAAACACGGAAGACATCAAAGATATATTAATTTAAAAAAAAAACTATCATAACCTTGAGTTTATCACCATTATTCGATAACCACCTTGTTATCGTATCTCATAGTATAATTTTTAGTTTGGTATTCGAAATAGTCAAGTACCTGATTTGCGATATCGTTTCGACCCGACAAAAAAACGGTTCACATTTTTTTTCCCCACATGTCTAACACATATTTAACGCGCACCGGGCTACAGTAATAAATACATACATACATAATGAGATTGTATACATATAAAGAAGAATATTCAATATTTAAATTCGCATTATTAATGCGATAATAGACTAGTGGATTACTAAAGCAATGAAGAAACCACAAACTTCCAACCAATGAGCGAGCAAAAGACTTGAAAATATTCAAATTATGATAACGAACAACTCTATCCAGATAACCTTGGCACAATCGTGCAAAAATCACAAAATGTCAAATTTCTATACGACCATTAACCGAAAACATAAAAATTTATCCTTTTGCTCGATGTCGCTTTGCCGTCTGTCAACAACACAATTTACCCCACCACGTGTTTGACGCTCAAAAACCTGTTGCTGATCTAAAGAAAGGGACTGTAAGATAATATCTTATAGGGGCTGCGACGGTCGGGTACGGAAAACACACAACTCACTAGAGGGTATGTACAGTACAATGTATATATATATATATATACACACAAACATAATAAAACAGGAGAGAACAGGTGGTTGCACGACGACCCAACAAAATGTGTTTGTAGAAAAAAAACCAAAGATTTATCGACAGACCCCTAGGAAAACTGGAACATACCCCACGCTAAGGATTAATAACTCACGCAACTTGTACACTTAGTTATCTCATTAAAACATAATGTATAAGAGTTTTTATTTTTTTTTTTTTAACAACGTGTTAAGCACATGACTACTCGCTGCAGTAGAAAAAAAGGACGCACAAAATTCCTTATCTTCATCCAGAAAAATAACTTCGGCATAGGTCAACGACGCTGTGCATCAGCCGACCACCGAAATCGATTATAACTTCAATAGACTGAAATGGCGAAACAGATAAGATGATTTAACCTACAAACAATATAAAACACAATCGATAGAACGGATAAATGCAACATTTTGATGATTTTCGATTATGTTTATACAACTCTAACGCAACCTATTTAAAATAATAACAGCGTTATCTGAGCGTTTCAGTGAGAAATCATACGCGTCAATCGGCTGCCATTATGATAATTACGTACACATAATGCGCGTTCAAATGTTAAGTTTAAAAATAATTATTATCGCTGAATTGAGGCATTTCTTTATTGATGTTCTACCGTACAGTGACAACACGTATAAAATACACGAAATTAAATGACGCGTGAGCTATAAAATCGTATTAAACACCGGAGCCTTTTTATAGAAATATAATTACACCTTGACACCACAAGACGGTGATGGGAGGCGGGGGGAGGAAAAAAAACGGTTGTTCCGTTTATCGCTAGAGCTTTATAAAAATATCACGGGGAAAAAAACCCAAGAACGGTGTTTAAGTATTTACCTTGGCCACAGTTTCTCCGCAGTTGAACAGCGAGTTTGTCATATTGGTAAATTGTTGTTTTGGATCTCTAAATCGTTGCGTCACATACGCACACGCACAAACACGTGGTGATCCGCTACACTCGATGCGGACGATACTAGAAATGCTGCGTGCTGGGATACGACCAAGCACGAGGTGCGATTGTTAGAACACTTGTTTTTTCAACAATAAATAAATAAATAAAACTACTTAAAATTTTTATTTTTGCACTAAGAGCGTATTATTTGATAAATCACCGGACAACGGGCAAACTACAACAGACCGATCGACAATAATTATTTTTTGGAAAATCCCACATGAATTTCTGTCGCTAGGCTTCAGTTGTATATATCTGCACTGATCGCGTAAGAATATGCGTTTCTCCCGTGTCGCGCTTGATCGTCTATGTCTCGTTGGTAACGTGTTAACGTACCGATCGCGTTTGTCGGACTGAAAGACATGGACGTTCGATCATCGATGGCAACCGCGTGCTCGTCGGACTAGTTTGGCCCTGCCACCGCTCCGTCCCCCCACCAAACACCTCACGCTCCTCTCACCAACGCCGTTTCGACGATGTTTGTGCGTATGTAAGAATGGTTTGTGCACACACGCATAAGTCGTTGTCGTCGTCGTTGTCGTCGCAGCCGCTCACTTTGGTTGCCCCCCACCCCTCACCTGTTCAAGGTCGTCGCCGATCTATAGATGTTCGCATCAGCGGTTCAAATCACGTGGTTTGACTGCTGGTGCTAAAAACACTATGGCGTTTTCTCATCAGTCGAAATACAAAATCCTCGTGAAATTAACAATGAAGCACTCGATTGTTCAAATGTTTATTATTTTTGCTAGGTAAACTCACAATCTACGCACTACTCACACTTGTATTTGATTCGTCTAGTATGAATATCATTTTTAAATAATGTGTATTATATCTACTGCGTTTTTTATTTTCAATTCAAAACTGAAATGCTGTTGCCAGCAAACAGATCATTTATGTCCACTACAACCCCACAGGAAAACGACCGATTAAATGCTCAATAATTACAATATTATGATGCTGTTAGAATGTCTTTACTATTTTTAACTAACACGATTATTATGGTATATCAGATTATATTTTATGGATTGGAAATTTTTTTATAACACTTATCTTAAAACCAATGATGGCTATTTTCATGACAGCTTTATTGTAATTTTACTACTACCTTATTTTGATAAATTATTTAACTATATTTAAAAATGTTGATATAGTTGAATTTCTAAAAAATAACTATTCTTCACAATTATGTTTTTTTTACTATTATTTGATTACTAAACGGTTAAACCTGTATAATGCTTGCTTATGCATTTAAATGTTTAAATATTTCTAATATGGAAACAAACAAATGCGTTATAGTTTTAATAACTCGGATAATAAGAAAAATTGGTTATGAAATAAGATAATTTTTATCAAGAGAAAATCAAAGTTATTTATAGTAAATTAATAATTGTATGATTAGAATAAATAATTTTAATTTAAAATATTGTATCATAAAATTTCACTGACGTTTAACCAAAAAAAAAAAAAATTAATCAAGTTTTTGAATATAGAGAAACACATTTAACTATTACATACCGGAAGATCAAGATGCTGAAGTTTATAACGGTGAAATGTATGAAGGCGGTGAGTGCGAGGCGCTTACTATAATTATATAATTATCTTATCATCAAATGTAATAAAAGTAAAGAAAGTTAACACTATGTTGTTGATAATTGTTTCCACGACTAGGTCCATTTAACTAAGAGTGAACGGAAACTTAAAAATTTCACGATTAGTAACTATACACAATTGAAGTTAGCCAACTTAGAAAACGGCGTTTTTGTTAGAAACATGTAACACACAAAACATCACACGCATAATTATAGTAATAATAATGATAATAATATTACTATTGTCTCTTTTAAAAATGAAATGTAATTTTTATGCTTATTGACAAATTTTGAAGTATTTTCTACATGATAAACAACAACCATACATTTTACATTTATGTTTTATTTTTTTAATTAATTACAATTTAAATAAATTTTACTCAATATTTATAGGTATCGATTAAGGTAAATAATAAAGAATAAAATGTATTGCATTTCTTCTTCTTTTACCTCGACTTTATCCCAACTACTTAGGGTTGGCCACCCTTATCCTAAACTTCCACTTGACACTCATTCTCACCACTTCATCAACCCGAACTTAAATCTGTGTCGTACATCCTGGGCAATACCGCCGTTCTTTTACACAACTCACCCAAAATACTTACAACTTTCCACCTCTTCTATCACGTCCTTGCTCGTTGTCAATGATTTCCTCGTTTCACCTACCTCATGTTTTCCATGTATATTAGATTCTTCAAATGTTTTACATAAAAAAAAAAAAAATTAAGGTGCATACAAATTATTGTTCTTTTATAGACATCTGAAATCATTGTCAGAAATAAGAAGTTTTATTCAATTTAAAAAGTTTCCTAGAATTTTGAATGAATCTGTAGTATGACTACTACTTTGATTTATATTCTTCTAAAGCTATTTAATGTATAAAACATGAAACATTTTGTGTAACTTTTTTATCAAAGTATTGAGAAGAGGATTAATATTATAATAATTATAAACGTTAAACATTAATCAGTAAAATAATTAATATTATTATTTATTTATGATTAACGTCCTTTCTAAAATTACTTGTACCAGAGATGATGGGAAAACCAAAATATTCTTAGATCTGATTAAAATTTAATATTATTTTAAGTTAATTCGTCAATAGTCATCATTAGTTTACCAACAACAAATGTAATTTGTTTCTAATTAAATTCATTCGACCAATTTGAAAAAAATATTTTTTTTTATTTAGTTGCTCATAGAGACATTCATATTAGTCATCATTTATATATTTTTATCTTAAATTGTCAATCAGCAAAAAAAAAAAACATTATTAAAAACTCAGTGTATTTTTATGTTTCTATGTTACTCGATTATTTCATTAAAATCAGTTTTTAAATCTCTACACGGACACAAATAATGCATTTTTAAAGATGCTTACTGTAATTTTACCTTTAAAAACATTTTTTGAGAATCATAAAGGAATTATTTAAAAGTTTTAAGGCTAAATTAATTTATTAAGTTATTTGAGGGTTAATCTTTAATGTATTCTCCTCTTATTTGCTTATTTGATTCTTATCGTAGTTTCAAATTGTGTATTTATTAGAATTATTTAAATCATTAAATTCTGTAAAAATGTTTTATTTAACATCGTAAAATCTACTTAAAACAAAAATAACTTTTCTTAAGTTAAATGTTTTAAATGCTATCACTTTACACAAACTGCAGCTGCCAAACAATGTTTTTTGAACTCATTTCACAAGTGTTTTTCTATTTGTAATACTGATAATGCGTAATAGGTTTGAAAATTCTCATGAACTTACATTACCACTATTCGGATAAACGTTACAAATTTTAACTTTTTTGTATATTAACTTATTTAAAATCAACTCATTCATTCATTTAATAGTTTATTTATTAACAGACTGTATGAGTATACAGTCTGACGTATCAAAATCTAACATTTGATAAGTCAAAACAAATAATTAATTTTATAAAAAAACCAAATGATCAAATATATTTTTCCCAGTGACAACTAAGAGTCGCTTGTCCGTCTTTTTACTGTATTTTCATTTATATTTACATTAACAAACTTATTTAAATAAACATATTCTTACTTTTTCAAATATTTCTGTAATTAATTTTTAGTTTTACGTAATGCATTGACATTTCTTAGACAGGGTCATATATTAAATTAGAGAATGCCCAGAATAGAAGTATATACGTAACGTTTGACCTGCTACCTAAAATAATAACATTTCATAGATAACATCAATAAGATAAGATAAAATTTAACACAACTAGACGGCTGGCTGTCTGTATGGTTATTTTGTTTTATTTTTATATTATACAATTAGTTGTCCCCTCAATTTTCAATTTATTATTAAATATTGTTATTATTATTGTACTATAAAATAAAAATATTTTATTTGGGTTTAGTAATGTGATAAAGGTATTTAGTTTTTATATTTGATCTGAGATTCAATTGGAAACAATTTATATTATATTAGTACGTTAATATGAATTTTTGCTATGAGAAAATTACTGTTGTATAATAATTATAAACAACTTATCAGAAAAATAAATGCATAAATTAACAAAACATTATTTTTATTTCTTAGGTGTTGTTGATATTTTATTTTATTTCAATTGAGTTCATATTATTCTATTTACACCTGGTGAAAAATTATAATAATGGGTTTTTTACCCATGAAAATAGCGTGATGACTATTTCATATGCAGCCTATATACAATGCATTATTTTTAAGAACTGTTTATTTTATTTATAGTAAGTATTTATTAAACTTAAAAAAAAGTATCATTACTTATGCTAATATTTTTACAAAATTTTTATTGTACTATTTCTGCCAGTTAATTTTTTCAAATGAATTTGTTTTAATTTAAATATTTTTAAATTTAGAAAATATAATGATTTTTTTAAAGTTTAAAAGAATTATTCAACTACATGTGTTTAAAATTTAAACTCATGTAGTTGAAAATATTCGTATAATCTCACTTTATGCTTTACAAATTTTAGTGGATACATTTTAAATAAATCTCCTCTAAAATTACGTTATTACAAACCAGTATAAATGCTCGACGATGTACCCATAAATCTCTAAAATCAATTATCATAATATTGCCGTCTAATCAGATTAAATATCTACCCACCCTATTAATTTGGAGCAAGAAAAATGTCAAAATAAAAAACAAAAAAATTTTTCTTAACTTAAAATAGTAAGTAATTGTAAATCACATAACGTTTCTTTGCGCTTATTCGCCAATTTTTTATTATTAATTATTTGTTTGAATCTACAAAAGATCGTATGTTTTCCTCGTGTAAGCATTTTAACACACATTGTGTCTACTTTATGATTAAAGTATCAAACATAAAGTATAATACTAAATAATAAACCTTTTTAGAAGTTTATTTTATTATTTAACAAAAGATCAGAGTTATTCCACTATTGACTGAATCAGAATTTGTTCATTTAACAATGCCTCAATTTTTTATACAGTTTCGTGATCTTATCCCTACAAATTTATACCTACAATTGTAACATTTACTTAGTAAATCTAAATTAATTTTTATGTAAGAATTTATTAATAGTAATTTTTGATAAATCTAAAGATTTTCTTTGAAATGCCGAAGGATGCTTAAAATTATAGTGATATTAGTAATAATTTTACGAATACCCATTAAAAATATATACAGGCTTAAACTTGTAAAAAATTTTTGTTATATTAATTAGGTTTTTTAATTAATATAACTCTACTGTTATAAATTGTATTTATACTTTTTTACTAATTTCTACCGGATATAATAAAAGAAATATTAAGAGTTTTGTAAAAATTTGATAAACTGAAGATGATAGTTTACCAATTTTTAGATTTATCATTGATGGTTTGAAAAAATTGTATTTAATATAACGTTTTTAGAAACGAATTCAAATAACCACATTATTGTTTTTTGTTTTACTGCAAACTACCTGGAGAGTACTGCTGTAATCGTTAAATGGAGCAGGTACCCATTAATATATTGTTATTTACAGTAGGACTTCTCTGTAGGCCATACGTATGAATAAATATAAAACAAAATACCATGTCAGCTGGTAATATAACGATATTGCATACCCCTGTCCCGAAGTAGTATCTCTTTTAATAGTAAAAGGCAAGAGAGCGTTAAAAAGAACAACTGTATAAAACTATGTAGATAAAATATAATGATATGACTTCATTGCATTGTTACTTACATTCAGTTAAATAAAGGCAAATGTCGGGTATTTAAATCCGAACAATTCATATAAAATATGGATAAACACAATAATAGTATTTTTAATTTGTCTATTTGTAATATTGTATTTCCGTTATGACTAACAAGTGTTTTTTGCTAACTTTTCTAATAGATTTTGGTGAATACGCTACAACGATATTTTTTATTTTGAAATAAAGAAGAGTATAGAATATTGTGTTTTCTTTTACGTCAACACATACGCATGCTTTTTTTCTAACCTACAAATCTAAACAGAACATACTTGTTTCCGTTTTAACTGTTGATTTTAAAGTTATAGGTAAACACAATAGAATAAATATATTATTCTAATTCATTTGATAACCTCGAAATATAAGTTTTAATATAGCATAATAAAAATTAAAAACGCTTTAACTGTGTAATGATTTCCTATAAGTATTTTTTTCCTAATTAACTACTTTTAAACTAATTTTAATCTGAAACGCAATACTATGCTTTTCGAGAATAAAAAAGAATGTTATAATTGTCATGTAATATAATACAGTTAGAAATTCGATTACTGAAATCAGAATTCATAAATTGCAACGATTAAACTTAAGAACAATTATTTGGTTTGATGATATATTAATTTATAAAACTTATGTTTTCCAGTTATAAAATTAATTTTTCTCAAGTATTGGACTTTTAAACTATTTTTCAGTCAAAATTTATGATATATATAAATAGTAAAATATGATTTCATAATTATAAAACTAAATTATACAATTTTTTAAAATAAAAAAATGTTTATTCAATTTTTATAAAAGAGAATACATTATTACGACAAATATGTAGATAAATTAATTAACTAATGTTTCTTTAAATTACTTTTTCAATAAATATACTGTGTTTAGGTGTTGTTCACTAAGGACCTTGCATATAGTTGTTTAATACCTGGCTTTTTTTCGTTTTTCAAGTATCTAATCCATAATTAGTCAAAACATACAAACATCAATTAACTAATTCTATTAATAAATAGAGGTACCTGGCCTATAAAATAACCTACTTGTTAAATATTATTAATATATATTTTAAAGATTTTTAGGTACTTGATAGTAATTTAATTTGTTCATTTAGTCATCAAAGGTAAATAACTTGGATAATTGAATGATGGGATATCGTGAAGGAAAAATTTTGTTAACGACAGAATATAAAAGGAAAATAGTTTCCAATTTTTATTTTAAGAACTTTATACAAATTAAAATATTCTTCAATTAAAAACAATATTAAACTTAATAGTATAATCCATTTAAAAATTTTTGAAAACACGTTGAATACCTTTTTATAAAAAATTACACAACCCTTATGAAAATGGAGAATGGTGAATTTCTATAAAATAAAAATGTATCATAATATAACTGCGCTAAATTTGAAAAATATAGTGTATATTTTTTCAATCATTCAGTATTTATCATCATTTCTTAAATATATGAGACGTAGGTGTAGCTAAACTTTTATTTGGGGGGGAAGGGTTGAATACCTTTTTCTTTACTCTAAAAATGATTTTTATACAACTAAACAAACAATTTTCTAATATTCTAAATGTTTAGTGGGGGGAGCTAAGCCTTTCTAGTTATCTATATAATGTAAGAAGTTAATACACGCATAATGATATTTTTTATATAAAAGACACTTCAAATTTTTTTAAAAGGTTACTTATTTTTAAATAAACAATTGATTTAAAAATAACATTATTTATTTATTGATACAAATTTTAACTTAATTCATTGAGACGCTATTTTGGTATTCATAAAATATAAAAACTATACTGTAGTGTTACATAGAAACAGGAACCATAAAGCAATGGCCAATTGGAAATGGTCAGGGGTTTTTAACCGCTCCTATCCTAATCGTAATAATTATTATAATACCTTTTTATTTGCTTATTCAAATTCCTAAATAGCGATGCAGAATATAATAAAATCCCCTGAAATTTTTTTTTGATTGCGCAACAGAGTGTTATCACATACGATTTACCTACTCTAGGCAGAAAGATATTTGACATAATCAGCAAATCTGAGAAATGTTTTGATTAAAAGAAATCTTGCGAATAAATTACAATCATAATTTTATATAAATAATTTCTACTATACAACCTAAATTATCACCTAATATACAACCTAAATCATCATAAAAATGTACAAGATTCTTTTACTAAACGATATAGTTTATATTTTCTCAGTCACTTGCAGAGTTAACAGAGCCAAAATTTATAATTGTGATGTAAGCCGTTGAACTGAGTAGATCTGGCCTCTAAATATTTTTATGACGCGACTATTATAAAAATAAATAAAAGGTTATAAGAATATAGATTTAAAATGTATATTGAGTACTTTTTTTAATGAAAATGTAGTGGATATGCACAATGGCTTTAAATCCATCACTGTTTCTAGTCCTAATTAGTTATTCATATAACATTTAAAATAATATCAGATTAAAATAATAACAAGTTGTTACAAAAAATAATAATAGATTAAATATTAATATAAAGGTTGTTCATATAAATAATTACTAAGATAAATTTGTATTAATAAATTTAATACTATTTGATTGTAGATAAAATTAACAAAATTATACTGAAGTTAAGTATAAATTTAATTATATATTAATTATTACTACACAACAATATTTGTACTAATATATATATATATATATATATATGTATTTAAAATTGGAAATCATTTATAAAAAATAATTTATATTCATTGGCGTATGCAAAATTTTATCAAGGAGGCGTCACAACACACATGAGTTAAAACCATTTTTTTGCTCTTTACTAGAAAATATGATTCGTTTATTCTCTCAGTAAAATCATATCTAAATTATATCAATAAAAAATTCTAGTTTGTTACACAAGATATATTTTAGCCTCGACAATCTTTATAAGATAAAGAAAAAGAAATGAAATTTTGCATGTTTAAAAGTGTTTGTCACAACCCTATTACATTCCCATTGAATACGCCAATGTTTAAATTAAATTGTCTTTTATTGTTTATAAAATTATTTTGTGTCAATAACGTACATAAACTTTTAAACATTTTATTAAAAAGTTAAAGATTAAGTAAAACATTTCCTGGAATTTAGAAAAAGAAACATTATTTTTTTTTTTAATTAAAATTATTTTTCTATATTTCCAGAAGACTCGTCTAATATCTCGTCTAACCACTCCAATAAATTTGTAGCCACTGAAGCGAAATCTTCCCACTGTTTGTATTCAACCAATTTTTCTTCATCGTGAGACAAGGACGCTCCGAATAATTTTTCTTCGTCTAAACAAACGCAATTATTTTCAATAGTTTATTTTTTGAATTTCTTTATAATTGATATATTTTCAATGCTTAGTGCTCACCGGTAAGTTTGATCAAAATATCCAAAATGTCCATTGGATTACAGGGAAAATTTTTACTACTAGAACATACGTTCCATAAAATTTGACAAATTAAAACGTACAGAATCCAATCGTGATTAGTTGACGACTTAAGGATGTTTATTATTTTGATAAGGCCGTCATGATTTTTAAATTCTTCGCGACTATCTTTGTCAGATGTCATATTCACCAGTACACCACAACAAACGATTATTAGTTCACGATTTCCACTTTCCAAATAGCTGGTCATCGTTTGAAGTCCTTAAATTTTATTTTGTAGGTTTATTATGATATTTCAATTTAAAACTTCTATGCTTATACATACAATGCTTATTCAGGGACGAACTGGTCCACTGTACTACTGTACCTGTAGTACAGTAGACCGGTAATCATTATGCCGAAGAACGTAAAACGGAATGTCTGCAATATACTAAGAAGGTGACACGGACGCATTTTAACAATATAATTATGTTTCATTATTTTGATATTTGATTTGAAAAATATAGTGTCATTATTATATTGAAAACTTATAATATTTGCACTAATCGTTGAATTTTTCTCAAGAAATTAAATATATGAGTAAAAATGTAATTTCCATGACCGGTAAACATGGTGATGTGGACCCAATATCCCCTTTGTCAATCTAACTACTGAATATTGTAAAAAAGCGTGGAAAACAATACTGAACGATGTATAGTTTTATTATTCTGAGAAGGCATAACCACTGAAATTTATTGTAAATAACATGATATGTATATAATTATAGATACAATTTATGAGTTTAAATGTGAATTAAACTAATTAATCATTAAACAAATTCTTAATTTTAAATAAATACATCAATTGAAGTCATAGATTAAAAGTATAATAAGAATAAAAAAATTGTAAAAAAACAAAGTAGAGGGGGAAAGTTATGTAAATAGCAAATAAATAATAAATATTAAAATAATATACTGATAACGCTAATTCATTAATTACACATAACTTTTATATATAATAACACAGTAATTGTATTGATGTATATACTTAAAAACAAGTAATGCTGTTATCCGACAGCTTCTTTACAATAAATATGTATATTCTGTTTTAAAAATCATAGTATAGACTACTTTCTATAAAATATCTGAAGCGTCTAGACTAGAAATCTATAAGATAGTAATATTAGTATGTTTACAATATAATCCAATATAAATGTGATCTTTAAACAAATAACAATCACAGAATTTAATGAAAGTTCATGTTTACACTAACCGATCTAAGGAGCATTTTACCGGCCCAGGAAATGATTTTGTTTTGCTCATCAATTCAATTATTTGAGACAAATTAAATAATTTGGGAAGTCCCAATATTTTCACATCTACATTTATTGTAGTTATAGTAATGTAAGTTTCCCTTTTTATTTAACTGAAATTATTCTTAGCCCCTCTAAACATTCTACCAATTACACTACATATTTTTTTCGCCAAACCATATGAATGTCCTCACTGATTCTGAATCTGACTTTAGAATTTTCAGATTCTAATTTTAATCGCTAATTAGAGAAAAGCAGGTAATTACGGAATTAATTACTCATAAAAAAAATTTTTTTTTGAAAAACCTTATTTAAAACTTTAATAGGCTATATTTGAATTTTAATCTGTTAACTATGAAAAAAATTGAAAATTTTGAATATTATTACAATATTTCTATATAAATATCTTTAATTTTAAAATTAAATATATTTCAATAAGTGCATCTATATAGTTTTTGATGTTGAAAAAAAAGGTTTAATTAGATATCCTATATCATCATTATTTGTTAAATTATTAGGGTATACATTTCAATTAATACTAAAATACATTAGTTTTTTCTCGTTCATTGATAAATAACTCGTATAAAACTGCTGTATAAACTTAGGGGGAACTTAAGGGGCTATAACTCTTCCCATTAGTCAATTATAACTATTAACAGTATATGATTTTGGTGCTAGTAAGAATATGCCTAAATAGATTATTTTTTTGCTTATTGCTAATAAACAAAAAATAAAGGTTTTCAGCTTTCTTTCTAAAAAAAATTCTGCTTACGCCACTGGTTATAATATTTGAGTATTATACTAACAAAGTAATATAAATTGATAATATCAGACAGTAAAAAATGGATTTTTTTTATATCTTTGCGAAGATCTGTAGAAGTTTTAAGATTGACTAAAGGAAAACTCATTTTTTCAGTGTTAACAGCGATTATTTCAACATCTAGTTATAATAGGAACAAAAAATTACATTTTTAAAATCCTTATAAAATTTCATATCAACTATAAAAAATGTATAATTATAGGTTCGAGCAAAAAATAGTTATAGGGAAAAGTTCAATTTTGATTTTTATAAAATGATTGCTGTAGCATAGAAGCACAGTGGGCCAATCCGTTCCTGACCGGTGATGATAATTTTTGCATTACATTATAATATTTATTCATTAACTTTTAATTTTCAGACATTTTATTATTTCAAACTTAATGCTTCAATTTTTTTTTTTTTTTAATAGTTTAACATTTTAAAGAAATTGGATTCCACCAACCGAGCTAATTCAAGCTACGCCACAATTGACTGTTCTGGTCATTAACGCAAAAACATATGATTAATACGAATACTAAAAAAAAAAATTATAACTGATATTAGGATCACCAATAAATAATTTCACTTCTGTAACACGGGAATTTATCTGCAAATCTATTGACTATGCGAATGTTTTATTTAAATGTATTATTAATTACGAATATAATATATTGTACATTGTTTGTTTATTACTGAAAAAAAAATTAAAATAAACTCACCACCAGTTTCCAATAAGTAGTTACGAACAATATTTGATCGTGTCAAATTTCCAAAGACTCTAATTACTTCCACTTTACTCGAATAATTTCTCGTGTTTAGCATAAGACTTAATGCTGAAACAATAAATATAATTGTATAATTATATTAAAATTATTAAAATAAATAATCTTGACAATTTAATACACCTTGTGTTATGTCCAATTGCCGGGAAGAAAATGGACCGTGACTCCCCATATCATCAAAGTATGATAAGTTGTTTAACGCAACTAAAGCGGCGTAAACTAATTCTTCGTCCTCGTCTACTGATTTACGTCGGAGAACTGTCAACAATGCGTCCAAAAATTGTTCGCATTCTTTTACTTTATATATTGAATGATTTTCACTTGCTTTCATAACTAACTTAGACCCAATTTCTGGCTGTATGCTCATATTAACTATGACCCTAATAACCTGTAATATAATCTAATGTAATTTTAATTTATAAATTTACCTAATAATAATAATAAATAGCTGTAGTTAAGTTTCTTTTATGTGTTTCTTAAAAATAAATATATAAATAGAAGTTGTTTTAATAGTAGTTTCCGTCATGCACAATAAAAACAAAAATTTACCCCATCAAAATATGTCTTATAAATGTAATATATTAAGATATATACCTAACCTTTATTAAGACGTCATTTATTAAATTTAATTCAAAATTTTGGGATAAACTTATTAGATCTTTTTCTAAATACAATTGTAAAAGGTTTAAAAGTGTCCCAACTGAACAGTGTTGATCGTATAGCTGAAAATAAATAACATTTTAATGAAATACATTTTTTAGTTTGATACAAAAAATACATAATATATAATATAAAATATAAGTATTAGTCTTAGTATAAATGTTGATGAAATACTTGATATCTAGCTTTTTCATTATTGGTCAGGATATTACCCAGAGCGTATGTAATACGAACTACTACTTCAGCTTGGTCAGGATATTTTTCTAGAAGAGAAATGAGCACAGAGACATTTGTCCAAGATTCCACAAGAGTGTCACAACACTTATTATCAGTTGATAAAATACTGCATAAAAATTTAAAAAAAACATATTAAAAATGATGATAATATTTTTTAAAATTAAGATTGATACACAAAATAGATATCGAAGAGCAAAACAAAATTGGGACTAAATTACCTAACAATTCTAGAAATGTTTGTGATAACGTCAATATCATCAGAAAATAGCTCTAAATTGCGATAAATAGTAGCCAAACCACCTGATGATATAAGCTCAGGATAAAATGCACTATTATTAATCACATTTCTTAATGCACCCGTCAGTTGAAACAATACATGGGTAATAGATTCTGGTAGTTTCGGTCTCTCTGTTCGCTCCAAGTTGATCATTTTTAAATGAAGTAGCATTAATGGTAGGCAACCGTTACTCATAGCTCGTTCCATTAAAGCTGGGTTCATGGTTAAAAATTTAAGGGCGCCATAACCATAGATAAGAGATTCGGCGTCTTCATTGGGAGTAGCCAATCCAAGAGCATCGACAAAAAGGTTCAGCACATCGGTCTCCAAAAATAGCCGATCGTTTTTATCCAAACGGGACACTTTGAAAAATAATTTGCACACCGTCATTAAATATTTTCCGGATACTGACATCTAAATTTATATTTTTATTACTTATTGAATAACTTCTTAATTATGTAAGCGATAATTGTAATTTTTTGTAAAAACAACAAACTAACCTGAAGTAATACTAATAGAATATGAATAATTAGTTCGTCGTTTGTAGAACTATTAGCTAATCTAAAAACTGTTCGTAGTATAAACGATTTTTTATTTTCGTCCCGAATGATTCCTAAATGTTCGTGTTTTATTGCATTTGCAAGTTTGTCTAATAGTGAGCACATTTCACCGATTTCCCAGTTTTCTATAATAAGCATACAGATCAAATATTATAGTAATTTAACTCTTTAAGTAAGTAGCATTCACTATGTTTTATTATAATACAAACTTTTCATCATCGTATTCTCAATCAAAGAGATGACACAGAAACAATCAGGATGTGTGGAGAAAAACGAAGCACGAGCTTCATTAATTTCATTTTCATGACTCATATATTCGTGATCGTAATAATTTGGCTCATAGTGATTCTACAAAATAGACATTTTTATAAAAGAAAAGAAAAAACAAATCAATATTTAAGATGAACACACAACTCTAAGTATGCTTTAAGTTTGATACAGCACATTGCCACCGATTTTTCAAATCAAAATAAATTCTTCAATTATCTGTATCGGTGGCGAAATTAGGGTGTAATTATGTAAGAAAAGTTAAACATAAAAAAAAGGCTACCCCACAAAATGAAAAAATATTGAATTGCAACAATAGTGATTTAAAAACAGTTAATTCTGAATTCAAATACATCACAATCCCTACACTGATTTTTGGGTGATACATATAGATTTTTTTTATCACTGTTTTGATTCAAATATAATCTAATCAAATTAATATAAAAGTTACTCATTTTGGACTTTTATAAGTTAAAATGTTTCCTTGACAATTTCGATTTGTTTATTCGTGTGATATATAATACTTGTTTAGTAAACATCTTGAGTATTAACAAATATCTTTTGAAAATGAATCAACCAGTTTTAATTAAAACAAAAGACATTGAAAAATTGTTTTTGGAAGACATAAAATCGAATAAAGGGGTGATTACACTATCCGCGGTGTTAGATATTTTAAAATGTAAGTTTCCCGATGTCAGTACGTGTCATTTACGTTATAAACTTGCAATTGCAATATCTGAACTCATGACTCGGAAACAAATTCGCGAAGTAAAAAAATATAAAATAGAGTTTGGACCATGTATACACTATTGGAAACGCGATGTGTTAGCTATTGACTCGCAAATCAAGCATTATTTAGAAGATGCTGATAAATTATTAAGAAGTTTGAAGTCCAATTGTAATACAACATGTAAATAAACAGTATAATGCTAAAACAATTATTTCGTGGTTTCAAAGAAAAAAAGTATCTACTTATCTAGTAACATTACAATATATACTCTGAAAATAAGTATCGACTCCATTTGATAATTCCATTAGATCCTGTTAAAATTCATAGGCAACTACACGGAAAAAATTACGTGTAGAATAACCATATAATCGGTTAATAAAGCATCAACTGTCTTAATTGCAGCTGTCACTATGTTTATCGTTCTATTTTCTGCAAGCGCATGCATCAAACAGTTTATTAGATAACAAAACCAAACTAACGCTTATATTATGTGCTAACGTTTACAGAGTGTTCAAAAAGTAAAAAATAATTTCGTATATTTATAAATGACTAAAAATTTGCAGTTATATCGCCACACATTTATTATCACATTTATTGTATAAACTAGCATTGGCGTTGTTAGGATTTTTGTTTGAGGGAATTAAGGACATTTTTTTTTANTACAGAGTGTTCAAAAAGTAAAAAATAATTTCGTATATTTATAAATGACTAAAAATTTGCAGTTATATCGCCACACATTTATTGTATAAACTAGCAATGGCGTTGTTAGGATTTTTGTTTGAGGGAATTAAGGACATTTTTTTTTTGCTTATCGTATGTTTTTACTAGCGCTAAGGTCATACATTATTTATAGTAATAATTGGTAAATAGGGGGCTACAACTTCTTTAACCCTCCCTTAGCTATTCCATTGTAAATTCTGACCAATGTGTAAAGTGTGTAAATTATATGAGCGGTATTTAGATGTAAATGACTATTTTTAAGTTGTTGTAAAATTATGCAACGAGCAAAAGTTTTCAGTAAACTAAATTTTCAAAGGACGGTCCAATCGCGTCTCTAATTTCTTCATACTCATAAAACATATTTATTACTACAAATAAAAAATTTTAAACATTGAAACTATAAATACTGTAACTACTAAAATAATTTTAGGGTTTAAGGATACGGAAAATGTGTTTTGAGTTATTAAATAATAACAATTACCTGGCTTCTCATCAATCGGAATAGTTTGTTTCTAAATTTTGAATATCTCATTTTTATAAGTCTTAAAATAAATGTTAAAAAAAAAAAATCATTTAAAACACGACCTTAATAAACAGTGACGTACCTATTGAATTAGCCCTGGCTTACTCTATTATCCTCAAATAATGAGGATGTAAGACACAGAATTATATGCGGGTGATTAAAGTGGAGAGAAGCGTCTGATGTGTTATGCGATAAAAGAATTCCAATGAGACTGAAAGTTAAATTCTACAAGACAGTAGTGAGACCAACCATGATGTATGGTTCAGAGTGTTAGACGGTTGACAAGAAAGTAGAGCAGAGAATGAGTGTAGCAGATATGAGAGTGCTTAGATGGATAAGTGGAGTGACTAGAGGAGATAGGATAAGGAACGGGCATATAAGAGGGAGTATAGATATAGCGTCAATCGTGGATAAGAAGAGAAAATAGAATTTGATGGTTTGGTTGGTTTGATGAATGTTGAAGGAAGAAAAGGTAGAGGAAGACCAAAAAAAAGATGGAGAGATGCTATTGAATGCAATATGAGGACAGCTGATATGAGCGTAGATGATATGGGAGATTGTGTCGAGTGGAAGTTTAGGATAAGGGTGGTCGATCACAAGTACTTGGGATTAAGGCGAAGAAGAAGAAGAAGAAGAAGCAACTGTTTAAGTAGGTTCAAAATTAACTTTAAAAATATTTAACCGTTAATCGTCTTAGCCCAAGAGTAATTAATGCAATTTAAAGATACTAAAACTACCTTTAATAGAGCATCTATCGACAGAGGAAATGATAAAGAAGATATTTTTTTTTCGGATAATTTATTGTTATACGCCAAATCTGAATTGGAACGTTTTCTAACTGCATGTGGAGGACTGCTTCGAGTTTGTCTTTTTACATCTTCAACTTAAAAAAAATTAATATAGTTAATTTTGTTTGCAATAAAAAAAATACCAAATTAAGTGTGGATTTTGGATTTAAAGTTACAGTTCAGTCATTCGAATAAAATTATTACTCTTACTGTAATTTAAATATTTGGACTTTTCCAATAATGGTAATTTTGTACAATTCGAATTTTTCTTATCTTGAAACTGCACTTGTTGTAATCTAAAAATAGATAAATAATTAGATCAAGGATGAATTTAGATTTTTTAGAGACGGGGCAAACATTTTGTAGACCTCTGGATTATATTTTTGCTAATTTTATCACTAAATTTTTTTTTAGCTTCGATGCGAAGCTAAGAATTTTTTAATGGGCGACAATAGTCTTGCGTTCCTCTGCATCAGCCATTGAATAAAATTTAAAAATTAGAAAAATTTTATTCAATTTAAAAAACTTTTAAGCTAGAAAAAAAATTGATAGAGTAAATTTTAGTCTTTGAATGGAGGTGCTAATTTTATAAGAGTACTTGACGAAAGGGTTATAGATTCACACCCATTATATTTAGAAAAAATCAAGTGCAAAATTGATATAAAAAAGGTCTTGCAAGAAAGTTTTTCATTTGCTTGAATTCCTTCATATTGCCTTACTTTAGAACACTTGATGGCCGGTTTACTCGTTTATTACCAAATAAAACTCTCTCTCTAGGTGTAAAAGGTCTGTTAGTCATTAACGGCTTAATATGCGACGGCATTTGAAGAGCCGCTTTAGCTTCACTTATTATTTCAGAACTTGTTTTTGGTAGTTTTGATTGGACATACATAGTGATGTAATATATACGCTCTTAATTAAAACTAATATAAGCACAGTAAAAAAACATATCAATTATTTTTAAAATATCACAATTGGGAACCTAAATTATTCATTAAGCAAAAAATTGATTTAAGTTTTATACTCAGTTAAATTAAAACAAAATTTACACATAGAGAATATATAAATGAAATATAAAGAATTAGTTCACAAATAAGGGTGGATTGTAACCAAGGAATTACACAACAACTATGTGTTATGCACAGAAGATATTGATTTTTCTATTTTTTTTTTTTTTTAAGATAAATATGTGATTTAATTATAACCAAGATATTTATTGCTTATAAAGTTTATTTTAAAGCAATATTAACTTTGCAAATATTTGGTACTTAAAATGTTATTATTAAGAATTTTAAAGTATAGAATAATATTTTATTCTTTAAATAAGTCTTCTACACCTCCATTTTGAGACATAAGCTTACCAACCTTCACACTGTATAACATGTCAGGTGATTATAATTGTGATTTCAGTAAAAGTAGACATATATATATATTATATTAATAATCTCTTTTTTTAATAAGCAAATTAATTTTTCATTAGATAAAATGAGAAATAAAAATTTCATCTGGCTCTCTTAATAGTATGGCATTGTTTGAAATTCTTTTAGATCTTAAGTATGCCAAAATAAAAAATTATGATAGTAATTATTTAATAACAAATATCAATAAATAATATATTAAAAGGAGTAGTTAGATAAACGATGTAATACAATATTTTACTGTTCTCTATAAATGTATTTGTCTATTCAGTAATGATTTGAACATAATTAAAAATTTAATACATAAAAAAAATAAACAAATTCGAATATAATGAAATTAAATCGTAATACATAATAACTAAAATTGTTATTTAAATACATAAGGTCAAAGAAAAAGTAACTTCCATTTGTTTACCTTCAAATGTATAGGTATTTTAAAGATTAAAATTTAGGTATACATATTTTTATACTTATTAATGAACTTTAAGTAAGATGTACACAATGAATGTATTAAAATATTTATTATATACATAAATACATTTACTTTTCATCAATTAAAATCATATGGTTAGATTTTCTTAAAATAAATGTAGTTGTTAACTTTAATTTAGATATTATCAAATACAAAAATTCAAATGTAATATATACTGGTTTTTATCATACTTGCTATTTCATAAGATTTTTAAGACAAATTTTATTTTCATATAAAATGTTTTCAATAGAGTAACTTTTGAACTTAAGCACTTAAATAATTTAATTGCATATTAAGAAACAAGTAGAAATGTAATTTGTTTTATTTTTTATAAAATAAAAAAAAATAATTTATTCTAAAAAAACATTTGAAATACAAAAATTAATATCAACAGCATTGATGAAATTAATATGGTTATATGTCATTAATAGTTATATACTATGTATGATGAAACTAAAATAATGAATTTAAGATTATTTTATTTTAAGTCTGACTATTCACAGAAAAATTGCTCAAAGGTAAATAATTTAAGTTATAGATTGGTTGGACTAATACATACGTGAAAAACTGACTTAGGAGTTCAATTAAAAAAAAATTTATTTTTTCAATGTAATAACTACATTAAAGCTAAAAAACATAAATGTTCAATTTTAATCTTAATTTCTTTTTAATTATAAATAAGTGTAAATAAAACTTAAAATTCACTTCAGTAGAAAAAAAATAGATTACAAATTTTTTCCTTCTATAATTATGGTGATATTAAATCAACTCTAATCCTCTTTTAATATAGGAGTCAAAGTGAGATTAATAATATAATTTCAATAATATTATAAAATAAAAATAATAAATTATACATTCAAGACAAAAAATGTAAATGTAAAAAAATAATTTTACCATTACAAATCACTAAAACTATTAAAAATATATATATTACACTTCAATATTATTTTAATACAATTATAAACAATATAAATAAGTAAACAATATTATTTTCTTAGTATATATTATTTACAAAAACATAAAAACAAATATTCCAATTTATTTATTTACTTAACAATCTCCTAACTTTATTTTTGGGTTTTGGTCCATCATCTTCATCCGACTCTGTATACCTTTCAGCATGAGTTATAATTTTAGTATCAACAAGGTAATTAGTTCCAATAAATTTTTTATATTCAAATTGTCCTGGAACATTCATTACAAATGTCAAACAGTGAACAGGTATTAATCGTGGATCAACAGAAATATGAGTAAAAGCATTGGGCTGAAATTTATCATAGTGGATTTTGTTATCTTCATTCTCAACATTTATGTTTGATTTTGGACCTAACCACATAATTTTTGCACACTTCTCACAAAAATCATTTTGATACAGTTCTAGAATCTGAGCATAGAATATTCTGTCAGATTTTACTTCACCTAATGACACTATGTCGCCAATTGTCCAATACCTATTATTGAAGTGAAGGCGTTCAGTTTTATGTAACGTGTACGGACAGCGAAATGATATTAACTCTGAAGGTGATGGTTTTTTATTCTTAGTTATTAACCAGTTAGTTGGCTGTCTAGCGACACAAATTCCCTCAGAAGATTCTAATTGTTTATTTTCGTCTGATGAAGTCATAATTGAACTGCCACTATAAACACATAATCACTAAATCATACTTATCACAAAGATCCGAATAGCTTAAATTATTATTTTTGACAACAAATAGATATCGAAAAGTTTTTGAAAAATTCCACTGACACGATTCAAATAAAGTCCATAATGGACTACAAGTAAATTGAAAATCGGCTAATATTGTATGAAAGGCAAATAAAGATTTTAACATAAATTTTTAATCAAGAAAAATGGCCTACTCCTCTAATCAAAAAGTGGGATATTTTTTATTAGAAATTTGATGATATAATCACAGAACAACTACTGATAAGAAACATCTTTACCATATCTGTGGAACAACTTTGATTTTTAATTATATTCATAAAAATGAATGATATAATATTTTTGATAATGTTATGTAAGCATATCATTATTTTTTATTTCCATTTTCAGATGTCATTCATTATTACCTTTCATAATTTCAGAAAAAAAAATAAATAAAATAATGGCCGTATATGCAAATACACTTGGGGAAGATTAAAGTTGCTCTCTAATTCCCCTCCCCCCCTATTCTGACAGTTTCTTTCGCTAAAAAACCAGTTATCATTTGATTTTAAGGAAGGTTGAATTTTTTTAGCTCACAAAAGACGCCCCTACTTAAGAAATATGGTCTCAATTTTATTCCAAGAAACAAGTTACTTATATTAAAAAGACATAGATACTATCTGTTTATATGAAGTTAAAATTAAAAAATTAAGAATAAATCATTAATTATTTAAGTTAAGCACAGACCCAACAATTAATTTTTAATAAAACAACTAAAAAGTTATTCTTTTTTAAATAAATGTATAAAAAAAAATGATTTACCTCTTGTTTAATTATAATATATTCTTTTATAATGAATAGTAAAATGATATCCAATTTATAAGTAATGAAATATTTAAAAAGCCATTGTTGATTCTAAAACCCGAGAAAAAATTTTGAAATTTAAGAAACTAAAAATTTTAGTTTTTTATTTTTATATTTTTGGGTACATAATATAACTAAAATATACGCAGAAAACCGCTGTATTAAGTTAAAATAATTTTAAAAGATATCAGTAGTTAAATTTAAAATATTATTTTTTCTTCTTGTTATCACAAGTAGTAGTTTTTCTTATTGAAATAATATTTTTACACTATGGTTCAAATTTAGTTATTTTTATCACATGTGGAGTTAATGTTATCAATGTCAATATTATAATCAACCATATTCTTACATAAAATAATGAATAATAAAAATAAACAATATTGAGTTGATATATGTTTGTAAAATTCTATTTTTTAATAATTCAAGATTTCAATTTTTATTTTGTGTGTTTTAGGCAATGCACAGTGCTCAATATATTAACAGTTTGCCGGAAAACATGCACAAATCAAATGGCTATTAAGGAATCTTCTGGCCATAAACAGAAATTTGTCGAAGAGATAGATTACAATGAAATCGAAAAACTCGAAGTAAGTTCAAGTATAATCGTTATACATAAGAATTATTTATTATTATTTTTTGTAGATTGTTGGAAAGGGATCTTTTGGAGTGGTCTACCGTGGAAGATGGCGAAACAATTATGTTGCTGTGAAACATATTGACACTGAAGCAGAACGTAAAGCTTTTACTGTTGAAGTAAGACAATTATCTCGAGTAAACCATCCTAATATTGTTAAATTGTATGGAGCCTGTACTTCAAACCCTGTGTGTCTTGTAATGGAATTTGCTGAAGGAGGTTCGCTTTATAATGGTTAGTAATAAAAAGTACTTTGAGTTAATTTTTATTGTGAAAAGCAAAATAAAAATAATCCTCCACCAGTTATAAAATTAAAGATGAAAAAAAAAAGTTAATTATTTTTCTAGTGTTACACAAAAATGATATATAATAGCTGCTTAAGGTTGCATTAGCTGGAAGTGCTAGAGGTCTTCAGAACTACCAGACTCTAGAACTCTTCCTACTATTCATTTACTTATGAAATATTAGAAAATAATTGATATTTGTCAAGTAGTAGTAACTGTGTACTTACATGAATATTCGATATTGATTTTATATTTGAATAGGCAATTGTTTTGGAACATTTTAATATCAAACCAACCACAATAATTAGCACAGATATATAGCCATCTTTAAATCCTTGTTTATTATATAATCATACAAAATTGATAATTATAAATAGGTAGTTACAAGCTAAATAATTTGTTGACATAAATATATATATATATATATATATATATACATTTTAAAATAAAACTGAACAAGTCATTATTTAAGTGATATAGTAATGAGTGTGAGAATCTTTGAGCTTAAAACAATGTTTCCTCTAATTTTACTATTAGAGATACTACTGTTATACTGACAGTAGTATTTATGAAATGATCATTATAAAATATAAATTTATACTTGGCCATATTGGTACTGATTTCTAATTTTAACTCAATTATATTAATATTTTTTTTACTTCTATTTATATAAATAATTAATTTGATAACCCCAATTTTCATTCATATCTTCCCTTAAATTTCATATCTTTGGTAAATTATTTTAATATAAATGTATTAATATAATTATTATTTTATAAAAACAATTTGACTAAATACTTAAGTTAAAATAATATATATTTTAAACTAGTATAAACAAAGCTGTGAGTATTATAAAAATATAAATACTATATTATACAACCAGTATTGATAGTTGTCATCATCAAATAAACAATTTAAATAAAATATTAAACATTAAATTATTTTAATTAAGCACAAAATAAACAAACACATGGATACAGATAAAAAAAAATGACAACAAAATGTGATAAATGCATAGAAAATATTGCAAAGAATTATAAATTTTAAACTACTCAAAATACATAGATTTTTATATAAAATTGAATATTTACTAATTGTAAATTTATGATGTTCAACTATTATTTATTATTTATTAAACATATATTGTCTGTTTGGATATTCAAGATATTATTAATTTGTTATTTTTTAACTTCATTAAGGATTTCCTCCAAATTTATAATAACAAAAATTATTTTTAGCAATTCTAAATTTCTAAATCTTTTTTATTTTATAACTAATATTATAATTTTTCTTTTAAACATGTTTGGCAAAGATAGAATTGACATTGATTCTTTTCAACTCAATTTCCGAAATATGGTCTTATACTTAGTTAAAAAATTTTGGTTCATTTTTCCAATATAAATTTTGTTACTACTACAATTATACTTATAAACAACATTATTATTAAAATTATTATAAAGATTTGTGAATTGTCATGATTTACTTTTATTTGTTTAATTAAATTATTATTAACCTTGAGAGCTATTTTTTTTGCAAATTTACCAATAAATATTATATATTTCACACTACAATTAGTAATGTAAAATTAATAGTAACTAAAATAATAGTATAGTTTACACTTCTATATAAGGTATCCAGTGCTAGCAAGATCAAAGTGACGATTTTAAAATAATAAGATAAATGCAAAATTAAAATTACCTATAAGATCAATAAAGTATTAATAGTGTTGTATAAATTATAATATACTTAAATTTTACTGTTTTCTTTTAAGTTTTACATTGTAAACCAGAACCTGAGTACAATTTAGGACATGCTGTTAGTTGGACGCTACAATGTGCTGAAGGAGTAGCATATCTACACAATATGAAACCTAAACCTCTAATTCATCGGCAAGTATAAATAGTTTCTTTGGTCACTTAAAGCCTCTGGGGTTAGAAGTTAAATTAAATTAATTAAACCCAAACCAGCTCCCTCGCTTTAAACTATTTTTTTACCTACCAAAAATTTAATTAATAAATTGACTTGCAGATTAGTAAAATTTTTCCAGTAAGAGCTGAGCATTTTTGTAAACAAACATATAAAAATAAACATTATGGTAAAATCAATATCTTCTTAGCTTCATTTCGAAGCTTAAATATATTATAGTTATAAATTTACTGTTTATACTAAATTATCTTAAAAATCCCTAAAATGTTAAAAAAACTTCATGGATTCAAATTTTCAAAAATGATCACATAAAAATAGAGAAAAACAATATGAACTAAACTTTTAACAACAATGTACTATAAAATATTACTTTTTATAGGTACTACAAAATAAAGAATTCATATTGTTTATATATTATATTTTAATATATTTTATATTACATTTTCACTTTGGATGTGTGTAAAACTTATTATGGGTGTAGTTTCCCCAAGTTTATATATAAGTAGTTACACTATTATAAATGTCATAAAAATGATCATCATAAAATTTTTTATTTTAGTGATCTGAAACCTCCAAATTTATTACTTGTCAATGAAGGTAAAACTTTAAAAATCTGTGATTTTGGAACAGCTTGTGACAAAAAAACATACATGACAAATAATAAGGGAAGTGCTGCTTGGATGGCACCTGAAGTATTTGAAGGTAATATTAACTTCTTCTTTTACCTCGCCTTAATCCCAAATACTTGGGGTCGACCACCCTTATCCTAAACTTCCACTCGACACAATCTCCCATATCATCTACGCTCATATCAGCTGTCCTCATATTGCATTCAATAGCATCTCTCCATCTTTTTTTTTAGTCTTCCTCTACCTTTTCTTCCTTCAACATTCATCAAACCAACCAAACCATCAAATTCTATTTTCTCTTCTTATTCACGATTGACGCTATATCTATACTCCCTCTTATATGCCCGTTCCTTATCCTATCTCCTCTAGTCACTCCACTTATCCATCTAAGCACTCTCATATCTGCTACACTCATTCTCTGCTCTACTTTCTTGTCAACCGTCTAACACTCTGAACCATACATCATGGTTGGTCTCACTACTGTCTTGTAGAATTTAACTTTCAGTCTCATTGGAATTCTTTTATCGCATAACACATCAGATGCTTCTCTCCACTTTAACCATCCGCATATAATTCTGTGTCTCACATCCTCGTCAATACTACTGTTCTTTTGTACAACTGATCCTAAATACTTAATACTTTCCACCTCTCCTAACATGTCCTCGCTTATTGTAACTGATCTCCTCATTTTACCCACCTCGTATTCTCCTTTGTCAAACTCATTCTCTATATACTCTATTATACTCCTACTTATTCTTAAATCCTTTTCTGATCTCTACACCTCTAGCCTTTGATTAAATTCCTCCCTATTCTTTCCTCTCCTATTTCTTTAGTAATTTCATCCACATTTGAAAGTAATATTACATTTAGGATATTTTTAACAATGACTACTTAATATTAATGTGCAATTTTATAACTAGGTTCAAATTATACCGAAAAATGTGATGTTTATAGTTGGGGGATAATATTATGGCAAGTTTTAACAAGACTGAAACCTTTTAATGAAATTGGAGGATCTGCATATGGAATTATGTGGGCTGTGCATAAGGGTACCAGACCTCCTATTTTCGAACAATGTCCACGTCCATTTCAAGAACTCATTACTACGTATATTCATATTATGACTTAAATAGAAATATAGTTAAATTTGTTTAGATATAACTTGGTTTACTCACAATAATCAATATCTCCAAGTTTTTCTTTGATCCCTCAAATTTCATATTAAACAATTTATTATTAATATTTTAAATAACTCAAAGTATTTTTTAGGTCCCTATAAATTCAAATTAAACAAGTTCAAATGTATTTTGACTTTGTTTTACATATACTTTATGGATGTAGTATTGAAGGAGTATGTTTAATAAATGATTTTTTTTGTGAGACAAAAATATATTTTTATTTTACATTATAACCAATTTTAAAGTAAATTTAAAAAAACGCTATTCCTATAAAATTAAAATTATACAAAGATTTTTGTTTAATTGTTAAATATAAAAATATAATTTTTTTCCAAAATAATTGGCAAGTTTTCATTTAATTGATATACTAATTAACTGCCAATTTATTGCACAAATGAATGTCTCCAAAAATTTTAATTTTATTAAAATTGTATGATAGGAATATATAAATAACTACTACAAATATGCATTTTATACTTTAATAAAATCAAACTATATTATTTTGGCTTTTAAAATGTATCGAAAATCATTATACAATCCCATACAAACAAAATCATTTTGATCAAAATTGGAGATACCTCTTTTTGGTTTAGTATGTCAGTATAATACTAATTCCTCAATATTATAGTTTAAATAACAAAATGATTTAATAATAATAATAAAAAATAATAATATTAATTTGAAATATTTATAATTTTTTATTATTTAATAATGTTTTATTGGAAATATGTTTTAAGAAGTAAATATATTATGTGGGTCTTAAGTTTAAATTATTTAACATAACATTATAAACAATGCAGAAAAAGAGGATTTCCAGAAAAATGTGAACATTTGCTAAACTAATATAAGTTATATAATTTTATTTTACTATAAAAATTAAAATTGATATGAATTGTTACTAATAGAGTATTTTGGTTAATAAAAAAAAGGCAGTCAGGAACTTTAAACAAAGCTATACACATTAAATTTAATAAATTTCTCTATACATATGTAATATTTATATTTGTATGATTGAAGGTGTTGGGACCAAAATCCAAATATAAGACCATCAATAGATCATGTTGTCGAGGTAATGAGGATACTTATAACATTTTGTTCAGGATTTGATCAGCCATTAATTTATCCAAATGATTGTTATACTTTTAGTATGTATAATCAATAATTATAAACATTGTAGATTTCACATTATTTTTACTATTAGGTTATAAAACTATTAATAGTTGTAGTTTAACTCTGAATGAAATTGTAAAATATTTCTTAAATTAAATAAAAAGTTAAGAAGCACTTAAATATAAAATATTTGATAAAATTTAACTACTTAATGTAAATTATTTTAGATATTTCGTAATAACTATGATACATTTTTAAGGTAGTGAATATGAAAACGAGTGCTCTTCTGAGGATTCGTGTACAGATATTCCAGATTCCTACATTGAAAGTTTAAGTAAGTAAATTTTGCTATCATTTAATATCATATATTTATGTTTTTAATAAAATAATTGCAATTAAGTATAATTAAAAATTAATTGAACTTCTTGGTTAACAATTAAAAAAATTTGTATAAAAAATATTTTTCTTTATATACAGGTTATTAACAGTATTCATTCTATGCTATTTACATATATAGAGTGTTCAATAAGTAAAGAAACGGGTTTCTATTGTTCTCAATATTTGTAACAATTGGCCTGTTTCTTTACTTATTGAACAGCCTCTATATTGTTTATAAATTTTTTAGGAAGTCATACAGGAGTAAATGGTATCTTAACAAATGAAAAGCTAATGTCAAATCCAAATTTATCTACTCCATTAAATATAACTGTTAATGATACAGTAATTATACTTATTAAATACCTTATTAATTATTTTAAAATATTGAATACATTTTGACTAGTATAATTTTGTTGCACAGTTTGAAAATTGTGATGATTTGAAAATATTGACAATGCCTGGATTTGATAAAGTAGGTACTTATCATACAGTTAACTCAACTAATAAAGGAGAAGAGACAAATTTACATGGTGATGTTACGGATAATATTGAAGGTAGTTTTTATTCCATATGAAAATTCTTATATAACTTAATTATCATCTTAACTTAACATCCAGATGAGTATTAAAAAATGTATAACATTAAACAGCAATTTTTTTTTAATTTTGAATTAGAAGTAGCTTATAATTATAAGCTATTTATTATAATCTAATTAAAGATAATTATCTATATGTTCAGTTAAAATATCAGTATTTTTTTTTTGTCGTGTAGGACATAATATTATTTTGTATAAAAACCTTTAATCCCCGCCCCCAATAACATAAAATCTTGATTATGAAAAAAGTGGATGTATGAAACCACTCACTATTTTGTATTCTGGAAATTACTTGAAACTTCTATATTAAATTAATATTTAAATTTGTTTCAATCTCCGTTTCTTTTATAAAACAAAAAAAATCGTAATAGTTCAAAACCAGAGACAAGTAAATGGACACTAGTATACTAGCGTCTAATTATAATTTTAATTAATACATCAAATTCTATTTGTTAATTAAAATGAAAAATTGTAAAAAAAATACTTGTTTTTTAAGTGGGCTTTATTAATGAGTCCAACCCATTAAAACCCAGTGGGTTATTGTTTCCTGGGTTTGAGACATTGCTTTTTAATTAATTCATAACTTTATAAAAACAAAATTATTTTTTTCTATCTATATAAATATTATGTAAACTATTTTTAATCTTTCATATGAACTACAATCCATATTTTTATTAAGGGAGTTTTGTAATTATTTTTAGCTTCAATGCAAAGCTGAAAAGGTATCAATTTTACCATGATTTTTTTTTATTTATTTTTTTTTTTTTGTGTCTATGAACCGATTTTGATGAACAATATGACAAAAGATCACAAATCGTATCTAGTCAAAGAAATTACCCTCAAAATTTAAAAAAAATGTCCTCGTTTCCCGTAAACGGGGGAAACCCCCAAAAAAATTCAAATTTAAAAATCGCTAATTTTCGACATTTTTTCAATTTTAGCTTCGATGCGAAGCTGAGAAGGTATTGGTTTTACTATGATGTGTTTTTTTTTGTGTCTGTTACCACTTTTTCTCAGCTCTCACCGAACGGATTTCTTTCAACGATACGTCAAAAGATCACAAATCGTATCTAGTCGAAGACATTACCCTTCAAAATTGAAAAAAAATCCCTCGTTCCCCGTAAATGGGGGAAACCTCCAAAAAAATTACAAATTTAAAAATCGCTAATTTTCGAAATTTTTTCAATTTTTTTTACTAAAAACTGCCGTAACTTTTTCAAAAATGAACATATCAATATAATTTTTTTTTATATAGATGCTTGATGTCTTTACCTATCATTTGGTATATTTTTTTTGTAAATCTGACACTTAACCTGCCCACAGGGGGGGATTTAAAATGACAACTTTTTCACAAAAAATTAACTTTTTCAACTTAACTTTTGAAAATGTTCCGGAAGGTCTGACACTTTTATATATATCTTAAATTAAAGCTAATGTAATGTACTTTAATTTGAAAAAAAAAAATTTGACCTCTGGACTTGTCTTCATGGTGAAAACGGCTACCGAATGCTATTTTTGTGTGAAAATTTTCGATTTTATAATTTACATTTTTTACTTTAAAGTGCTATAACTTTTTAAAAAATGTATGGATCAATACAATTTTTTCATGAGAAGTAGTATTTATATACATCTTTCATTGAATATACTTTTTTTTTAAATCAGGCTATTTCCCTATATATATNTTAAATCGGACCATTTCCCTAAATACAGGGGGGATTCAAAACATAAAAATGCATATAGAAAGTAGAACTTTTTCAACTTAACTTTTGAAAGTGTTCCGGAAGGTCTGACACTATTATATATATCTTAAATTAATGCTAATGTAATGTACTTTATTATGCAAAAAAAAAATTTTATACTTTATTTTGTCTTCAGGGTGAAATTGGCTACCGAATGCTATTTTTGTGTGAAAATTATCGATTTTAATTTTTAATTTTTAACTTTATAATGCTATAACTTATTGAAAAGTGTATGGATCAACATAATTTTTTTATGAGAAACAATAATTTTTAATAATCCCTTTTTAATTCGATATACTTTATCTGAATCAGTATATTAACAACGAACTAGCAGATTATGTTGCTTTTGAAATAATCCACCAATTTTTTAAAAATTAAACACTATCTAAAGATTTGCATCGAAGCGTTTATTTTTGATAGTGATTTTAATCACTGTCAGATATCATTATACTTGATCCAACTATGCCACGTCACCACTGTGCCGCGACCCCCCTGTGCTGGGTTTTTTTTTACTTAAAATTGCCATAACTTTTTTTAAAATGACCGAATCAATATAATTTTTTCTTTTATAGATACCTTAGATATTTACCTATCATTTTTATATATTTTTGTGAACATTTGACCCTTTACCAGCCCACAGGAATGATTTCAAAATGATAACTTTTTCACAAAAAATTTACTTTTTCAATTTAATTTTTGAAAATATGGAATTTTTCCATCCGGAAAGACTGACACTTTTATATATATCTTAAATTAAAGCTTATATAATATACTTTATTTTAGAAAAAAAAAATTTGACCTCTGGACTTGTCTTCATGGTGAAAACGGACATCAAAGTTAAAGAAAAACGTACGATTTCCATGAAAAAATTCTCGATTTTATATTTTAATAATATTATTAAATTTATATTGCTATAACTTTTGGAAAAATCTATGAATCAATATTATTATTTTATAATAAATTTTTATATACCCCTTTCATCTGACACACTTATTTTGTAAATCGGATTATACCCCTTTATACAAGGGAGGTCAAAACTTTATACATTTATTGAAACTAGGAAATTTTCAATTTAATTTTTGAAAGTGTTCCAGAAATACTGACACTTTTATATATATATTAAATTAAATCTTATGTAATATATTTTAATTTGAAAAAAAAAATTTGACCTTTGGATTTATCTTCATGGCGAAAATGACTAACGTATGTAAAAATATGCTATTTTTGTGTTAAAATTCTGGGTTTTGTATTTTATTTTATTTTAAAATACCTGACAAGGGGAGTACACAGATTTTCATAAATATTATATAAATAAAATTGATATAGCATAGAAAATCAAACTTATTTAAATTTTTTTGCTTTTTTGAAGTCAAGAAAAATAACTTTGAAATTTGATCTAGCTTAAATAGCCTTTTTTTTGAACTGACGTTAGCAACGTACGGTTGCCGAGTCGGTTAAACTTGTGTTTTTCGCACTTGGAGTACAAGGTTTCAACCCGTGTATGACAAGGATTTTTTCCTTAATTCTTTTTATGTTAGAATAAATGTCCAACTCCTTTGATTTTTATCTCATTTAGATTCAATAACTTCAACAAAGATCAAGGATCCAACCACTGTAGTCGCCACTCGTGAGAAGAAATTTCTTATTCATATTAAAATTATTTTACTATATTTTAAGTTTTAGATTCGATGCAAAGCTAAAAAGATTTTTTTTTGTGACTATCATTTATTTTCTCTGCTCTAACTTGTCCTATATTTTTCAACGATACGTCTAATGACTACAATTCGTATCTAGTTGAAGATATTACCCTCAAATATTGAAAAAAAAATTCTAATTTATCAATAAAACAGTTAGTTATTCCATGTTCTCCATAAAGACAATTAAAATCATTCATTTCTAATGTTTTCAAAGTATTTATTGACGAATTAAGTTGGATATGATAGGTTTCAACTACAAAATTAAATCATTTTACTTTGTAATTTAATAATTTTTTTACTCTATTTGTGTGTGCTACTACTAGACTATAATATTTTTTATTTTTTGGTAACATGTTATTATATAAATCATTTATAAAAAAATATGATTGTTATTTTCACCTGAATTTAACGATGGATTTTTACAATTATAATCAAATTTTATTATACGCTCAATTGAGTAAAAATTTTTAACAATTTTTTTTTTATTGCTTCTTTGAGTTAAAATAAATCATTAAAATTAATTAAGTTCTGAATATTTCAATCGCAGAATCTTTTTAAACACCAAAAGTTACTAGGAAATGATTACTATTACTTCTATTTAAGTTATCTATTACGATAAAATGGAAAAAATATTGAGCTACTCTGATAAATTTACTGTAAATAGTATTATACAACTTCCTAACTGCATATTAATCTTAACGATACAATTTTTTTAATTCTCATAAAATTTTCTATTTAATGATGTCAATTTGAAACTTGCCAATTGAACTAAAAGTTATGGTAAAATAAATAAATTTTTTTTTATTATAAACGTTCACAAAAATCAACTTTAAACGATTAAAAACATAGGTTAAATATGTCTCATTTTCCTTATTTTTAGCATATTAATAATCAAAATCAGTATTGATTTAAAACAATTTTTTTTTGTTCTTGATTTTTTTTTTTTTTTATATGTAAAACTTACTTTTTAATAATAAGTAATAATATTAAAACTTAGAAGTGATAGAAAAAGTCTAATTGAACATTTGAAAACATCGCGAAAATTTGATTTAAAAAAGTATATTTTTGTTTCTGATGAAAGTTCCTTGTAGTCTAGTGTATTTATTCATAAACGTGCTACCGTTTTTTTTTTTTACAATGGAATATATTTTTGATTAGATTATTTAAATTTTAGCTAAATAAGATTTACATACACTTATAGATATCTCATATAGTTATTGTTACTTGTTGTGAAAAACATCAGATATGCAAAAAATGAAATATGTTTCTCGTGATAATACATGTTTATTTCTGAATTCGGGGATATTAAAGTTTTTAATATACATTTTTTTGCACATAGTAGTGTTTTTCACACAACGATACATTATTTTACAAAACTGATGAAAACATGTATACTCAAGTTTTATAAAATAGACTTGAACCCTCTAACCATTAAAATAAAAATTCAAATAAGAAACTGGAATATTTAAAATTTATTGGTGTTCACAAAAATTACGTATTTTGTAATAAACTTATTTTGAAGA